AGAAAACGAAAAAAACAACGTAAAAAGTAAAAAGACAAGAGATAAAAAGTGATAAAAAAGCAAGAAACAGAAAGCAAAAGGCATTGTAGACTAGACTTAAATGTTCTTGCATTTATCGAGAACGAAGAAGCCTCTTCTATGTCTCAATCGCGTGTTCTCGCGTGCAAATAGTCTTGTCACGATTACGCGAAGCAGCAACACGTTGCTGTATGTTTGAAATTAAAAGCATTGGTCGCGCGAAAGACGTACAACATGCAAGAAGTTCTTAGATATCGTCTTATTACGTTTCCTGGTAGTACAATTTATTGGCGCAATGTTAGCACATGCCAATGTTTAATCAATATATCGCCAATGAATTATGCTACTCGGGTTCTAATTAACTAGACTATAGTCTGAAAAAAATGATCTTATATCATCAATCCGTCGGGATTAACTAAGCTAGCGTTGGTCGTAAAATCGTTGATAGTTGTAGCATACTAGGTACACATCTCGCGCTGATACACCGTATCGATGGGACGCGTTTAGGTAGCTGAACGACAAAACATCAAGTGGGAAAGGCTTGGAAGTGAACGTAATCCTACAGCAATCTCAACGAAGCGTATGTCTCACTCTATATCGTACAGTTTTCTTGTACGTAAGAAGTGTCACGTATGCTTCGATCTACTTCGACAACATTCCACGCTACCATTCGATTTTACTCGTGGATGTGCGCCGTTTGAAATATCAATGATAAAATGTAGCTTTTTTTATTTTTCTAAGAATTGTACTATAAATGGACACCATAAACGAATAATCTTGGCGAAACATTCAATAATTCTAAATATTTCGGGTAATCATCATTAAATGGTGTGCTGAAGATTGTCAAATTAGATGCGAAGCAAAGCGTCCCAAGACTTAGACAGAAATGCTTTATATATTACAATATTATATATATATATATATATATGTGTATATATATATATATATATATATATATATATATATATACAATCAATAAAAATTCTTTCGTGACGTAATAGCGCCACGCTTTCACAATTTACAATTATTATCAATAGAAACTTCATATTCAGTTTTATGGCCATTTATATTATAATACGTGAAATTATATTCTGACTTCATCCTTACAATACGACGTGTTAATCAAAACTGAACTCTTCACAAAAATAGGGAAGTTGCATGTAGATGCATTATTTTATAAGTTCGTGAACTATTCGCCATGTTACTCTGTACTATTATTAATTATTCATCGGCATTTAAGAGAGATGCTATAACAAAATTTTTTTACGTAAAATAAAATTGGTTAATGTTCAAATATATTTTATTATCATTTTCATACTTTTTTTTATCAAAATAATACAAGTAATGGCAATTTAAACATACGTCAGGAAATTATGGCACTGCGGTATAATTACAGTTACGTTACTTAGATTTTTGTATATTTTTTTTTTTTCCTTTCAAACGTTGCATTCACATTAAACAATACATCATTTCATTCTGCATTTTAGCTAAATCGGTGTAAACACATTCCATTCAACGTCTGCTGTTTGTAGAAACGTTTAAATGGATAGCCGTCTTGTAGGAAATGTTCTTAGCAGCGAAATCATATTTTTTTAGACGTCAAACTTTTGACAATTACATCTCGAGGGAAATAATGCTGTGGATTAATCAAGAGATACTAGATCAATCCAATGATTATAGAATATTACAAATGAAATCTCTCATGTATTATTTTTATCCTTAAATTAAGTTATATTTTGCATCCTGATGATAATAGTTTTACGTCTTTTAGTACTACTTAATAATTTGAGATCGAAAGCAAACGAGAAATTGTCTTTTTCTCCAGCTAATTCTATAGCCTCGATATTATAAGCTCAATTACTTTTTTTTATAGAATGTTACAATAAATACAAAATATTATATGAAAGTGTATATAATCCTTGTATTATCTTAAGACGCTAAGACCGTTCACCTGAGAATTAAAAAAATTGTACATCCGATTATTCAAAATTTTATTTATGTTACGTGAAGACTCTAGTAAAATTCAATAATGAATTAGATAATATGGAATTTAAGAACAAATAGGTAACGTCAATCGTTTGAAACAGTAAAATACCTACGTGTTTCGAAAAGATTCGTAATCGTTACTGTGTTATTTAGCTCAAACGAGTTGAAATGATGCGTCAAGTAGGATGCAAATAAAATGAACGTTACATCAATTATTGATTAATATAAGATGCATGGCTAATTACGCGTTCACTTAGTTTATTTTCGTTAAGTTTGTCTTGTTTACTCGCCTTATCTCATAAAAATCTTGTACGATCTACGCGATCGCATTACTTTTTTTTTTTGTTACTACCTATATTACAGATTTAATTGGCCGTAATTAAAGGTAATGAACGGGAGTAAGTTCTAGCAGTTCTTATCTTCTTTTTTTTTCGTAGAGTAAGATATTCATAAGTGAAATGGCATAACTGATAAACGGTCGACAAGTACGGCTGTTTTATCATAATTTGTTCTCTCATAGAAAAAAATGTTTTTTTCTAATTTAACATTAGCTTTCAAATGATAACTTGTAAACGTACATTATTTAGAAATTATGAAACTACGATAAAATCACGCACTGCAGCCTTTCATTAATCTGAAATAGTCATATGTATAGCATTATAAATTACATTTGGTCACGATGAACAGTATCTTGAATTATCGATATATAATTCAAAAGTATTTAGAAAATTCTGATTGTGTAGCGTAATGGAAACGTGCCTCATGAACGTACGATTTAAATAACAAGATATCCACGAGAAAACTGCCATACTAGTCGGTGTTTTTCTTGTATAGACCATTTGATTGGATAAAGAAACGTCTCCTACGTATGGCTACTTGCACATGTGCAATCCAGTATACGTCTTAAAAATATCCGAGTAGATTCTACTTCTCGATAAAAGGCAAGAGAATTGTTCCGCTCGTGTTCATCCTATAATATGATAACGCGTCTACCGGGAATACGTACTTGTTTCGTGTTTCGATGGATTGACTCTTCGTAGATAAACTGTAAACGATCAAATTCGGGGGAGCGAATTCGCGTAAAATTTTCTTTTTCCTATGCATACACGTGTTTCTCTCTCCGTAATCGTGTCGCCGGTCGAGCGCCCATTTGTGTTTTCCAGGAAACCTACGGCAATCTACTGAACTCTACAAATCTATGTGGCCGTGGCCACCTCGACAATCTCGATCTGTATTTAAATAATAATAGATGAAAAGTCGAAATTTTTAAGATATAATATATATATATATATTTATATCACGTACTCGCGAACTCGCTTGATAATAATTGTGACGTATCTTACAAGTATGTATTATACACATTATATATCTCCATAAGATCGGAACGTCTCGTGTGTGTCGTATACCTAAAGTCGCGCGTAGTTTTCTTTCTTTCCATACTTTATATTATATACAAATTGTAAAATGTCTTCTTAATGAAAAAAGTCGTGTCGATCTGTGTATATCTCTTTTTTTTTTTTTGGTGTGTATTTGTATTTCTGTAATATTTTTCTCTCTCTCTCCCACGAGAACTTGAACGTATATATAACATTCGTATTTTTTTCTTTCATGTACTCTCTTACATTTTTACATACATACTATATTCCCAGGCATACTCGCTCGCGTTCGTTCGCGATTTCGATCACCGACATTCGTACTCCTTTGCATTCGCTCCCTTTCGTCTTTCCCATATGAATATTTTTCATGTCTTCACAAAGTATCTCTCGATCGCAAGATACATTATCCCCACAGTTTTTTGTACATGCGCGTCTTTTCAAGGTCAGTTCACTGTGTAATTGCATCTACAATGTGATTCCACATTTCTCATTCTAGTTATAAAAAATAAATATAAGAATAAATACGAGAATATCAGAAAGCGGGCACAAGCATTATACTATTCGGTATTCCAAGTCGTATCTGATATTCGAAAAATGCGGGCATAATATAAGTATGTGTGTACACACACACACACACACACATACACACACGCGCGCGCGCACACGCACACGCACGCACGCACGCACGCACGCGCACACGCACACACACATATATACTTGAGATTCACGGAATGTGATTGAATTTTTATTTTAAGAAAAAATTCAATTTTAATTTTATTAGTGAAGAAAATTGTAAAAGTAAATATGAAGGTCTGTACTTATTTTTATATCTCTGGCGAAAATAAAAATCGGGGCTGAATGTAAAGGAAGAGTACCTCTTACGTTCTTAATTTTCATTCCGATCTTTATTTTCGCCAAGATATTGTTCAAGCGAATATCCTTACACATGTAATATTTTTTTCTCAAAGAAAATATAAATAATTTTGATTACAAAAGATCGAAGATAACTTATCGTTAGCTATAGATAAAAAATAATCTACATTGCTATAGACTTATCACACGTACAGAATCTCATCGTATGTCACATTCTTAATGATACCAACGAACGACACAGCCATTTATCTAGAACGTCAGAACAGAAAGCTCGTCTTGACACCTCGAGCGCCAAAATTCTCGCTTCCTTATTCGTCGAATTCTCATTCCTCACTTGACGCATCAGAAATTCATTCATCGTACATCGAGTACCCTAATATTCTCGGTTACGTGAACATGAATTAAACTCGGATGATGACGGAATGGAAGAATTATACGTATCGCGCGGGTTCGCGAAACGACAAAACGTTTTCGTTGAGGAGAAGCATCCGGCGCCGTCGTTACTCCGGTGTCACGATCCGAATTAAACAGTTCCATCGATCCAATTTCTAACCAATTCCAATCTCTTGACTATCTATATGCGAAATCTTACTCTCACTCGACGAGAGTGGAACGCGAAAAAGGGAGAGAGAGCAAGAAAGAAGGAGAGAGGGGGAGAGGGGGAGAGAGAGAGAGAGAGAGAGAGAGAGAGAGAGGAGAGAAAGAGAGAGAAATAGAAAGAGAGAGAACGCGAGAAAAAGAGAACTCGTGGCGGTGATAATAGCGTCTCGACGACGATTGAAATTCGTTGAAGTCGCCAGCTGCCAGGCAGAGGCACACGCTCCCCTCAGACGGACACCCGCCGCGGCTGCTCGTAATAGTGATGCTGCTGCTCGTCGAGGAGTATCACACTCCTCGCGGCAGAACAACGACGTCAGATGCTGGCACGGTGCTGATACAGTGGCGGTAACGGCAACATCGAAGAATACTGCGACGTCCGCGGGTCGCCCCGCACGCTCAACGCCGACAGCTGTTGCATTGGCAGCAAGTGTGAGATCTTGCCCGGCGAACGGCGCACCGTGAAACGTGGTCTCCGCCGCTTCCTCTGGAAGCCGCTGCAGCGGCAGCTGCACACCGACGCTTCGTCGTCCAACGACATTGCGTTCCCGTGATTGCCAATTTGGCCGGACAGTATCGAGCCGTTTGCCGTTATCACATCGCCTTCGAGACGCACCGCGCCCTGGGCCGCCTAAAGGAGGAATACACGAAAATGGTCGATTAATTCTCACGAATGAATACGCATTGCAGTGGAAATGAAAAAAGTCCACTTGATAATGTTATTTTAACTCGTGAATATCACTTATGCCACTTGTTAGGCTTACAATTAAGCGGAATTTAATATTACAAATCGTAAAAATTTCACGAAGAAAGAAATGACAATTAGACAGTTGATACTAAAATATTCGGCAAAATGATGGATGGAATCTCGAGAGATATGGATAAGAGTGAGTTGTACCTGTAACGCTTCGGCTTCGTCTCGTCTTTCATCCTCCGTATTCATAGTCACGAATCTCAAAACCAGTAAATTAAGCGAGGCCGCCACGATCGCCAAGCCGAAGAGAATAAATATTAGGGCAAACATCACATACTCAGGCTTCTTGTTGAGCGCATTATCCTTCTGCAGCGCGACCATGTCGCCGAAACCGATTGTCGTCAAAGTAATGAAGCAATAGTAAATGGAATCGAAGTAGGACCACCCCTCGTACCTGGAGAACGCAGCGGCGCCGCCGGCGATAGTCAAGCACGACAACGTCGTTACCACGCAGATGAGATTTATCTCCGAGGCCTGCAATACATTGCATGTTAATTTATAAGTCTAAATTCTATTACATATGTATTACATATATTGTACCGTGATAAACGCTTAAGAGACGAGTACGAATGGTTTAACCTTTGGTATTCGAGCGAAGAAGGTACTCGAGGGGAAACTGTACTAGATTACATTATTCAAGCGATATGAAAAAGAGAACATATACATAGGTTTTAATACCCGAAGAAAAATTTAAAGTAATATGCACTAGAATTCCAATAAATTTTATGGAATTGGCAGGCCCATGTAAGTGCCCACCTGTAACTATGTAAAATTTACTTTACTTTTCTGATAAATGAGCGATCGTTGTAGTTATATTAAGTAAGGTACTTTGTACATTTCATAAAGTAAATCTATAAATTCATACACATCTCAATAGAATTTATTTACTTTATCGACGAGTATTTTTCGTTTTAGAGCTGATAAAATTTACAGTCTTGAGAATAGTATGATTTATTCTACTGTAAAATAATAATCACTTGAATAAATCTACTGTAATTGTAAAGTACTTTTTACACCTTCAGTAATTTTTTTCTTATTCAATATTTTTACTTTTAAGCAAGTAAAGTTTACCATAAGTTGAGCAAAAATAATCCGAATATTTTTACTTGCGAGGTAAAAATTTTTCTCTGTGTAATTTTGATTAGAAACGATTTCAAAAAGCCAATTTGAATTGAAGCCACATTAATTATTAGATATCAAATAATTCGAGATATTATAATAATTAGTTTACGTTGATTTATACGTAATTCTCATATTAAACAAAACAAATTTCTATTGAAATTAATTCTAATAACATCTGTAACTTTTTAAAATTCAATATTATCTGTATATTGAAAGATTACATATTTTTTGTACTTTGAAAAGGACACAATAGTGATGTCGAAACGTCTGTAATTATATTATATTTTTGAATACGTTAATCATTGTTGTCGTACTGAACATCTTGTGTAGGCTCACATTCGCAAGTTTCCTTTAGTTTTTATTGTCAATATTATCTACATATATTTTAATGTAATCTACAATTTATTCTGTTTAAAATTCTGCTTAAAATTAATTAAACAAATTATTATATACAATTCAAACGCTTGCACTTGGATTAATACAATTTCACTATTTTAAACAGAAACACAATTTCATCCATGTTTAATTAATTTTAATAATCTGCAGTGCAGAAATTTCGGCGATTTTTGTGCAGCCCAACAGAAAGTGCACTATTTCTCGATAGAACGTGCCTGAATTGAATCCTGTTTGAATTATATATGGAACGTTCTAATGGCAAAATACAATATATGGTTCAAATAAGCTTATTGTTACCTGGACGTTTCTACAGTTTAGAAGCGTTTTTACACTTCGTATCACGACAGACGAGAACTTATTCACGCGTTCTCCTATACTCTGAAACATTACAAGTCCTAATGGGATACCAATGATCGCGTAACACATCGTGAACAATTTGCCGTATATGGTAGTCGGCGTTGAGTGTCCGTAACCTGAAATAAAAATGAAATGCAGAATAAATTTTAACAGTTTTCCAGCGCTTTCGCGCGCGATCGAAGAAAAACAACGCCCTATGAATTTAATTGCGACGTTTCGTGCGAAACCGCGAAACATTGTGCACAATGTAAATCTGTGTTTTTTCTGTCACGATGAAAATGGTTAAATCAATTAAAACGCACTGGCTGGCGAATATATCTCCGGCGATCCATTCGTGCGTTGCTCAATCACTTTCAGTTTCAAAATCACGATCGTTTGTCGAAAAGCTCGTAGAATCAAAAAATTATCTTTTGTGATAAATGAAAAAAATTGACATTACCTAAAATGACGTATGAAAATTGTAAAAAGCTTTTTGTTTTTTTCTAATTTAAAAAAAAAACAGTAGTGGTTTAACACTTATAAAGGTTGAAAGAAATCCGAATTGCAAATCAAATTTACTTTTTTCCAAACTGTCGCATTTGGGTACCCGTCAAACAATTTGGGTTATCGAACAGGTTTTCAATGCAAATGGATAGTAACGCAGCGGTAGTTACGCGTAATAAACTCGGTTTGAACATCCGACGGTATTCAGGGCAATGGTAACATCGCAACATGTACCTATCGTGGTGAGGACTGTTGTAGCGTAATAAAACGCGCCAGCGAACTTCCACTGTTGGCCAGCTTTGTGAGGTTCCGTCTTCAGCACCACTGTTTCCATGATCTTGAAGTCGTCCTCGCTTATATTGTATTTTCGTATAACCATTTTCTCAATGGCTGTGAACAGAATGAGAGCAATTAGATTGATATGTATCTCGCGGCTCGAAGGCATCGATAGAAGTATGAGTGATGCCTGATAATGGTGCACCTGTTATTTATTATTATTATTATTTATGATGATTTCATCGGTGAGAAAGAAAAAGAGAGAAAGAAACATTGCTATTTATTAAGTGTTCCTTAAAATAACACCTTTTCGAGGGTGGAAACTTTACATGCATTAATTACAAGACATGTTACAATAGAAACCATTTTTGATACAAAAATGATGAGTAATTGCAAAAAAAAAGAATTAAAAAGAAACAGAGAGAGAGAAAAAGAGAGAGAGAGAGAGAGAGAGAGAGAGAGAGAGAGAGAGAGAGAGAGAGAGAAATGAATATATCACAGAGTTAAATAAAATGACTAATGACCTTTGAACTTTTCAGAGTGTGCTTTCAGAGACTCTGTCGGAACAGATGCTTCGTACATTGGGATGACGATAACGCGATTCTTTTAATGAAAATTACGTGTCAGATACGCGTAAAACTGTCCCTTCCATGAATAAAAGCCGAGACTCGTCTTTGTAAAAAAAAAAAAAAAAAAAGAAGAAGCACGGCAACGCACAAATCGCTATTTCATTCTACTACTACTGGGATTTATAAGGCTCGCGAGAGATGGAATTTATCAAGCGTTTTCGAGCTCGCAGCGAGACAATGGCCGCGACATTGTAAGATCGTTCCCCTTTGACGATAGTGCAACGACATTCTTCTATTGGAAGCGCCTCTCTGCATAACGTATACCCCGCACGTATGTCGCACAAATACCGCCGTCGCCGCATACACGATTACACACTAATGCACTTGTACATAGAGCTCATTGCTCGCTATATGGTTAAGTAATCTACGCGAATGGCAATAAAGGGGCTTAAGGAAACCTCAGACAACACAAATGCCTAGAAGCGTTGTAGAAACGTCTGAGAGACACTTCAATCCCTCTGATGATCTTTTCGAGTTTTCAGAGGAGTCTCTTGGACTTTTGTTTACTTAAGACTCTATTCATTCAATGAAGTTCTTGAAGTCAGATTACGAGAGAAGAAAGAAGCTATTGTATCCACATCATTTGCATAGATAAAAAATAGGAATTACATGAAATAATTTACATAAATAATTGGAATCCTATATAAAAAAAAATCTATATATATATATTTTTTTTTTCTCGTTGAAAAAAATCAGAGTTTTGAATTATCTGTATTATATCATGTCTTTATGTATTATAGAATAAAGTTTACGAGGCAATAACATTATTTATAACTCGAGTCACTTATTAAGAAAGTCTAGTCTATTTTAAAAAGAATATGCCACCTGTCTAACTTGAAATGTACCTTGCAGGGCACGAGCGACTCAATTTACCATCCAACTTACCATCTAACGCTTCTTTGCGTAATTTCTCCGTCTCGGACTCGAGCACGTCGAAGATTGCAGCACCGACGAGGAGATAGGTAAGCGTGAAGACGATTAATGATAAAGTCCGGACGTTTTGCTTCTTCATTCTCTAGTGAGCCACATGCTCACTAGCAGGGCCCCGGCCCTAATTACTTGCATCGCTCAGTGAGATACAATTTGGGTTGCTGGGCCCATGATGACCCCCTTCTCTCTTCCCCTTCGAAAGTGATACTTGACGGGGGCCCTTCTCTTCCTTATCAAACGCTACAGACTTGGCACACGATCCCTTGTTTTCAGAATATCCGCTTCCTTGCCGTAGCAATCATGCAGTCGTTTTCGTTCATCTGAAACTGTCGCGTCTACTTGTCCTATCAAAGCTAAAAGAAGTACTGTATAAGAAACATTATCGTGTACTGATACATATAATAATTTATTAATAAAAACTAGATCGACAACAAATTCTTGATAAAATAAGAAATAAAGATGCGGCAATTGGAGCATCGATTTCATGGCAACTGAAAAGCGAGCCAATGATATGAACGAAATTTATCAATCTGCTCCAGCAATACTTCGCGTTATTTTTAAAGATGTGGGTCACTTAAGAATGAACCGCGAAGATTGAAATCGATTTCATTGAACACTTTTTCTCTTCTCCACGAGTTCGCTCTTTCGCTTTCTTGGCTTGAAATTCAGATGCACGATGAAAAGGTATAATCGTTCTAAGCGATCAAGCGAGAGAGATGATTTTAAGATTTCCTTTTTTTCTCATTGACGTAACGGGTGAAATCTACTTCTTCGAAGATCGGACTGAACAAAAAATGTGCTGATTTAGAAGAAAAAGATTTTTAGCTCACCTGTAACTTGTTCCGGGTTCTCCTTTAGGTACGACGAAGAGTTGAGCAGAATGATATGGCAGTGCTTTCGCTGCTCCCACTGCCACGTTCCCTCCATTCCTCGGCTTAACACCCCACGCTTTCAGAGCCGACTAAACAAAAATAAAATGAAATTCTGATGAGTGACGAGTCACATTTCGTCGGGAAATTGGTTTCTCATAATACATTCGAGAAACAATGCCGAGTGGAATTTATTTTGTCAATATTTGCTGATATTGTTTTTCACTTGAAACAATTCTGATATCATATTCTTCCTATTCGTCGAAAAAAAAAAAATATTGGAATTAAGCGAACACGATAAAAATTTAAAGCATGGCAAACATACAAAAAATGTGTAAAATAAATGAATATGTTATACGTGAAAAGTACAAAAATGTTCAAAAGAATGCGTAAATGTAAGTTTAAAGTAAATTTGAAGTCTTTTACTAAAATTACAAGTCAATGAGTGAGAAAATGACTGTATAAACAATTAGAATTGTTTTGAATGTGAATTAAAGCGGATTTGGGATGTAAGAGTTTCAGACTGGCTTTTATCGGGATTAATCGATCGATCCAGTCTCTTTGTTATCCATTAATTTGTTAATTGCTTCCAACTAAGTGTTATTTGAGAAAGTAAATTTATAAAATCCATGACAAGATTAACAAGTCTTAATAGTACCTTTATAGTGCAATATAATAATCGCCGATAATATATTATTGCAAGATATCCAACATGTATCTGATTCTCATATTTATATTGAAAAT